ACTCTTTCTCTTAGCACATGGTAAGGTTCTTTGTAATAGCCAGAAGTAAAATACAACACTTTTTATCAATTTTTAGTGCATTACTTTGACTTGAAACTCACAGTGCACCAAAAGTAAATATAGTTGAAAGGGTTATTTGAATATTTTAAACCAAACAAAAATTTTTAAAAGAATGATTCTTTCTCACAATTAAAGAACAGTAACAAGTAGGAGTACATCCAGGAGAGCAGAAAATCTATCAGATTGAAGGCCTTGATATAAAATAGTCTTTACCTGGGACATTATACCAATTAGCTCCATTCGTTATTCCATGAGGAAAATATTCATTAGGGTACATATTCTTGCAAGGTCTACCTTGAAACATCTGGGAATTTTCCTGAAATAAAAGCAAAGAATCTTTACTTGTATTAGTTTATATTTACATCAAAAAACAATGGAGAGATACTGAGAAACAACAAAAGTGGTTACCAATAGGACGTGTGAGGGGATGAGGATGGGAAAAGGGTAGACGGGGCCAGAGGAAGCAGTGAGACTTTTCACAAATACCTTCTATGACATTTTGATTTTTTTACATTATTTAATTTTATTATTATAATCATTATCATTTTAATTTGCTCACCAGAGAGAAAGAGAAAGTGAGAAAGCAAGCTGCCAGGTCCAGGACTAAAACAGCAGTTGGCCATGTGGGAGTCTAGCACCTCAACGACCACACCAACTGCTGGCCCCACCATTTTGATTTTTGACTATGTGAATGTATTATATATCTTTAAATTTTTCTTTTTTAGAGAGATTTCTGCTTATAGGGTGTGTGTGCTTGCCAGAGAGACAGAGAGAGACACAGACAAAGAAAGTGAGAAATCACCCCCCGGGGGAATGGCCAAGCAGCAATTCCTTCCCTTCTACTCTGTTCTCAGGATCTTGAGCACACATGCATCCCTGGGGGGAGTTTTAAGTTGCTGGATCCGGGTCTCAAACTGTGCTAGACTACATGGAAGTCCAGTGATGTAACCATTACGCCATCGGCTGGATCCAGTATTATGTGTTTCTAAAAGTCAAACTTTTGTTTAAAAAAAAAAAGTCAAAATTTTGTTCTGTGTAAGACTTCATTTTTTGTTGTTGTTGTTTTTTAAGAGGTTTTTGCCTTAAGGTGCATGCACTTGACAGAGATAGAGAGCCAGAGATAGGAAGAGGGAAAGTGAGAAATCACCCCCTGGGAGGATGGGCATGCCACAATCCCTTCTCCACTCTCCTCCCAGGATCTTGGGCTTGCACACTCACAGTGTAAGTTTTAAGCCGTCAGGTGATGGATTGTGATGAGCCATGAGGGAGTCTAGTGACAAAACCACTATGCCATCTGCTAGCCCCTCAAAGATTTCATTCATTACTTGAATGTACAAGTAATATGAAACCCAGCCCAACCGCTCTCTTTAAAAAAACAAACAAAACAATAAACTGCTCATATTCAAACTTGCATTTCACACTTTTAAGGAACTTAAAGTCCGGAAAAGATAATACACATATGATTTTATTTTATTTCTCCCTTTTTTTCTTTATGCCCCCCCCATTTCTGTTTTTCTTTTTGGACTGAGTTAAAGTGGCTTTTCATAATCTCCATGCATGTTTAGGTATATTTAATCTAATTCAGAGTGCCAGCTTAACAATTTTCTTCTGCTTCTTGATTGAGTTTTGATGCTAGTAGGATTTTCTTGGTTTTTATGTGTGAACTTTCATTTTCTTATTTCTTTTGCAATTGTGTTCCATAGACTTTATTTCCTACTGCTCACTTTTATGATATGGGGTGGTTTTATATGATTCTTAGTTTAATAGTGCCCATTTCTATAAGGTTACAAAGCCTAGGTTCTGCAGTGTGTGTGTGTATGTGTTAATGTAGGTTCATTTTATTTCTTTCTTTCATGAGGGGAAGAAGGAAGGAGAGAGCAGGAGGGAGACAGGTTCCCTGAACATTTGGAAGATGTCCCTTCATGCCTACCTGCCTTTTTAAATTATGTTTATCTCTTTAAATCACATGAGATCCTTTAAGTTGTGTGCATTCTGAAATCTCTACTTTCCCGTACTTTCATTTACCCAATTACTTTTTTGGTATCTTTGGGTATAAGATATATCTAAATGAGTCTAAATCACCTCTAGACTTGCCCTTCACTAGCCTCTCTGTCTTCTCCACAATTTTCTTGGTCTATGCTTCTTCACTGCAAAGCCTTCCAAAAGAAGGAAGGTGGGGTAGGTGTATGATAGATCATGCCATGCTGGGATTTCTTTTCTTTTTTAAGAATTAATTATTTACTTATTTAATTCCATTTGTTATTATTATTTTTCAATTTGACCAGAGAGAGAGAGAAAGGGAGAGTGAGAAAGCAAGCTGCCAGGTCCAGGACTTAAACCAAGGTTGGCCATGTGGGATTCCAGAGCCTTTAACCACCAAGCCACCTGCCAGCCCCAATGCTGAGATTTCTTAATGTGTTTTTCTTTTTAGAGATTTTTGCTATAGGGAATGTGCACTTGCTGGAGAGACAGAGAGACATAAAGTGAGAAATCACCTCTTGGGGGGATGGTCACATCACAATCCCTTCTCTTCCATTCTCCCCTCAGGATTTTGGGCACGCATGCACATGCACCCAGCATGAGTTTTAAGTTGCTGGATCTGGGACTTGAACCATGGTTAGCCATGTGGGGTTCAGCAACATAACCATTATGCCATCTGCTGATGCTTAATGTGTTTTTCCTTTTCACTTACAGTTATTTTGCACTTCTAAGATCTCATATAATGTCAAGTGCGTAGTTTTGTGTAGAATTTGGTAGTTGGACAGTTGTTTCATATTGTTTGGGGAAACATTTTGGGAGATTATTAAATAACCACCATCATCTTTGACTGCTTTAAAGACTCCCAGGGTTATTTGCTTTTGAGAAATATGGAAGCGCAATAATGAAGAAACTTGGGATGGCAGTCTCATGGGACTTTATTAAGGTTAATGAAAGCTTTCTTTTTGGATTGGCCTCGTCTATGGCATAGTCAGTATCGTAGTGCTAAAAGCCATATAGAGACTCTGGTTGGCCTGAAACATACCAGATGCATGCACCCAAGATCCTAACAAGCCACAGAGCTGAGGGAAGGTGGAACACAATGTGACAAGACCCTGTCGAGGGTGCTTTTCTTTCTCTTTCTCCTTCTCTTTCTTTCTCTTTCTCTTGTATGAGCATGCATGTGCTATCATGAATTAAAAAAAAAAAAAAAAGGGCCAGGAAGTTGTGTGGTAGTTAAGGTACTAGATCCCACATGGTTGACTCCATGGTTCAAGACCTAGTGGCTTGAAGAACACACTGGTACATGTGTGTGCATGCCCAAAATCCTGAGAGGAGAATGGAGAAGGGACTGTGGCCACCGCCATCCTCCCTGGGGAGTAATTACTCACCTTCCCTCTTCCTCTGTCTCTCTCCAGCAAGCACATGCACCCTATGACAAAAACAAAACAAAACAAAACAAAAAGCTGAACAACAAAAAAAGATTTTTTTTTTTTTAGGTAAACTGCTTATCAGTCAAGAAAAAGGAATCTGTGAGTGAAGATAAGAGTTAAATTTTCACCTTTTCTGCTTACAACAGGAGACACAACATTCCAGAGAAAACAGAGTGCAAAGAGATCAAGAAATGTAGGAGAATAAGGGTAAAATATAAATTAATAATACCCAAGACGGAATCTGGGTCAGCCCTGTGGCCTTTAGTGGTTGAGGGAGCCAAATCCCACGTAGTTGACCATGCAGCTTGACTCCTGCCCCTGCAGCTTGAAAAACCATGCCAGGCATGTGTGCATGCATGCCCAAATCCCGACAGCATGGAGAAATGGAAGAGGAGGGATTGTGGTATGACCATATCCCACTAGTGAGTGCTTTCTCCCCAGGCCTCTACTCTTTGTCTCTCTAGTGGGGGGAAAAAAAAAGAATCTGAATGAACTCACATCAGATTACTCAAAGTTCTACTTCAGTTCAGTGCAAAGTCATCTAATGGGAATATGAGAGAGAGCTGGGATTAGGATGCTCATGTAGAGAATAAAGGCTTAGACTCGCCACAGTGGGAAATGAGCCAGGGAGTCAAGTAGCAAAACATAAAAGTGTCAAGTACAACTGAGGGTTCAGCTAAGGTCCAAGAGCATAATATGGAGTACAGCAAATTCCTATGCTTGAGGGACTATTCTGAGACTATACTTGTTATATTAGGAAAAAGAAGAGAGATGGTGGTGATTACTAAGGACTGGAGATTGTCAAGGCATATATGTCAAAGAGTGTACAAAAGGTATGTCTATGGGCTCAGGATGAATAGCAATGTAAACCGAATCAAAAAGGTTAATGGTCTAAGAAAATAAAAAGAGGCTTAGAACTATTACGGAAGTCACAATAAGGGTGAAAAGCAGAATCTTGAGAATGAGCACAGAATGTGAGGGGGATCTAGGCAAAATCTGATCACTTAGTTTTGATTCTGATGATTAGACAGGACTTACTTTTATTCCATATATGTCCCTCCAAAAAATCTTTAAGGTGAAATAAACAGCTCCACTGCTGTATTAGAAACTCTGAACAATCTCACAAGGCTTGTTTGTAGAAATGAGAGAGTGGGAGAAGTAGAATGATAGAAGGTTGCTAATAAGTAGTAGAGAGTTACAATAATAATCTCCATTATCTATTACCAATAAAGTCAGACCAGGTCAGCAGTAAGACCAGTCATCAAAACTAACAAGCCTAGTTCCTAAGCCTCAACTTCCAATGTTGTCTAAGAACAATTTTAAAATTACATTTTCACACATACATACACAAATTTTAAGACTTCTGGTTATAAAGGTAATCCATATTCATTATAAAAAACTTAGAAAATATAAAAAGTTCTTTTTATATTTTCATATAAAATATAAAAAGTTCTTATTTGGGATTTTAAGTACCTTAGACAATGCATTGGCAAATTTTTTTCAAGTTTTTGTCACAGGCAGGGCACATGAGCTCACTGGAGTGAGACAGAGAGGGAAAGTGAGAAATCCCCCCACTAGTGGGGACAGCCATGCCGCAATCCCTTTTCCTCCAATCTCCTATCAGGATTTTGGACATGCACGCACATGAGTTTTAAGTCACTGAGTCCCGGACTAGAACCGCGGTTACTCATATGTGAATTTGGTGTGTCAGCCACTATACCAATTGCTGGCCCCAGCAAATTTTTTTTTTTTTTTTTTGGTAAAGGACCAGATAGTAAAAATTTTAGGCTTTGTATACACTAAAGTATTTGTTGTAACTACTCAGCTCTGCCCTTTACATCTGTTGAGATGAATGCTGGGTTTTTCTTCTTCAGTTTGTTAATGTGGTGAATTTCACTGATTTACCACAAATGCTGGAAGAGAACCATAGACAATATGTGAAAGTATGGCTCTGTGTCAATAAAACATCATTTACAAAAATAGGTGGTAGACTAGATTTGGCCCCAGGCTGTAGGTTATCAACTGTCTGCCTTAGCATACTTTACTAGGCTTCTAAGTTAAGTATTTGTCAAATGAAAGAAACTTGCATGCATGCATATGTTCCAGATACTATACTAAAAACCACGGATGAAAAGATACTATCTGAACTTCCGGGGTAATGGAGAAGACATGTAGCATTTTATAAAGTGAATTGGGAAATAGAGGTGAAAATCCCCAAGGCTAAGTGAATAGGGAAACAGAAGGCTTAATTAAGATGAAAGCACTTGACCTGAGTCTTGTAGGACTTGATTTTAAGGCATTCTTTTAATACGAAAATTAATTTTATAGCATCTTATGTTCAAACAAGCCTACCTTGGAATAAGACAGTGCTATCTGTTGAAACACAGCATCATCTGGTGATTTACTGTATGTGGCTAGTCCTTGTTCATCATCATCAAAAGGGTAGTTAACCACCAAAGAACCTACAGGGAAAAGAGGGAAATGTATCATGCTATCTGTTTCAAGATGAATCATTAACATGAAGTAAGCTTTTCAGAATACTGTCAGGGAAGAGAAACCAATAAAATTTCATAAGGCTAATTTCCTCAACAGAAATTAAAAATACTCTCCTCAGTAGAAAATTGAAGTGGATAAGGGAGAAAATAGCTATTCATGACATTTGAAGGTTGCCTTAACTAGAAAGGTCTCAGGAACTTACCTGAATTTATAGGTGGAATTTACATGTCAGAGCTAAAACCTGAAGCATACGGGTATAAATGAAACAAGTTTACTTCAATAATATTTATGATCAGAGAAATCAGATGAAGTTTGATCCCTTTTCCAGTGAGATTTGGACATTTTTTTAGGTCATTTAATTAAAAAAAAATGTTGCCAGAGGGCATGTGTGCTTGCTCAAGAGAGACAGAGAGAGAAAGAGACAGGGAGAGAAAGTAAGAAAGCACCCTCCATGGGGAATGGCCATGCTGCAATCCCTTCTCTTCCTTCCCTCCCCCCACCTGTGATTTAGGGCACTCACGCACAAGTGCCTCACATGTTTCTCAAGGACTTGAATCCTGTAGTCAGCCCTGTGGGATCCAGTAGCCTTAAGCACCGTACCGTGGGTTGATTCAGGTCATATAATTTTTCTTTTTTTTTTTTTTTTGAGAGGTTTTCGCTATAGGGTGCGTGCACTCGCCAGATAGAGAGACAGAGAGACAAAGCGAGAAATCACCCCCCCAAGGGGAAAGGTCACGCCTCAATCCCTTCTCCTCCATTCTCCTCTCGATATCTTGGGCATGCACGCACATGCACCCAGCGTGAGTTTTAAGCCACCAGGTCCGGGATGCAAACCACGGTCAGCTACATGGGAGTCCAGCGACATAGCCATTATGCTAACTGGTGGTCCCAAGATCATTTAATTTTAAAGAAAAGACCTTTAAGTCCAACTAATCTATGCTCCTCATTTTGAAGAAGTGGACTCTAAAATAGACACATTAAATGACTGACAGATAGCAGAGCCACACTGACCCACATTCAGAAAGAAATGCTAGGCTGGCCTCATTGCCTACTCGTTAAAGGAGTCAGATCCCTCATAACTGACTCCACAGTTCAAATCCTGGCCCTGGCAGTTTGAAAAACACACTAGGCATGCAGGGAGTGAAGAGGAAGAAGAGAGGAGATAAGAGGGACTGGGGGACGAAAGAGAAGAGAGAGAGGACTGAAGACTGAGGGGGCTGGAAAAAGAGGGGAATAGAAACAGGAGACAGAAGGAGGGAAGAAGGAGTGCAAGAGAAAGAGGGAGGGAGAAAACATCCAGGAACTGGCTTTAAAAGATGTCAGAAAAGACCTTCACTGTTTTCTGTCATAAAAGCAGTAGTAACAGGATACTCATTTTAGGAAAGCATACGATGTAATGAGGGAAATTTCCACAATGGTTTTCAATGCTCTCAACAAGAACTAATTAGTGGGAATATAAAGCTGCCATACCTCCATGCAGGTTTGCCGACAGTACAAATGGATAGGTCTTCATCCAGCTCATTACAGCAATAGTTTCTGGTTGGGTGGGATCAGTGATCTGAACAAACTGGTCTGGGAAATTTCGGTTCAGGTCAAAGTTGTTGCTGTTATTTCTGCCAATTACACTTACTGAGTCTCCTGTATGATGAAATATTCAAATTTAAGACATGTTTCACATATTTTAATTCAACACATAGTCACCCCTTATTTGTGGGGGTACATCTCAAGACATCCAGTGAATGCCTGAAGCTGCAGATAGTATTGAACCCTATCAACACTGTTATTTCCCACACGTAAACACATAGGATTTAGTTTAATTCATAAGTTAGGCACAGTAAGAGATTAATAACAACTAATAATACCAGTGGGCTTTAATCATGAAATTAAGTATTTGTTTTTATTTCACACTAGCCTTTTTGGGAAATGTGGCTATTATAGCTCATTCTCCTGATTTCTTGGAAGGGCAAATGAACAGCGTAGCTTTGACTTCTAATGTGGAAGTTTAGCATGAGCAATTCCACTTTGGTCTTATCCACACAATGTGTTACAGTCAACTTGAATACTTTATTTTTTGTCTTTCACCCACAAATGTAATGCCTTTTTGTAATAACTAAGCACTTATCACCTACTGTGGCCATAACTTGCAGTTTGTGATGTGAAAGCAAAACTACTGGATGGTCAGAAAGGTATAACATATTTTTGTTTTTCTAGGCAAAAATGTGTCATAACTTCCAGTGATGCAAAAGCATGAATTTCTTTTTCCTTCTTCACAATTTCATGAATAGAAGAGTTAAATAAAAATGATAGGTGGCTGTTTTGGACTAAACTCTTGTACAAGAGACCCCAACAAATAAGACCAAAATGGAGTTGCTCATGCTAAAATTCCACATCATCACACCAAAGCTAAGCTGTTCATCTGACCTTCCAAGAAATCAGAAGAATGAGCTATAACAGCTAAATTTCCCAAACAGGCCAGTTTCAATCAGTATGATAATGAAATTCCTTCTGTTTCATTCACTTCCCAGCCTCTACCTTACAAGGAAAGTAACTTTAAAGTGATCAATCTGCTTTTTGTTCTTTTTTCTTCAGTCCTTCTCTGCCTGGAAAAACCAACCTCTTCTAGTCAACTACTTGGAATACTAATTCTATTTTATGGAATAAAGAATTGTCTAACTCAAATTGCAAATAAAGACAATTAAGTCTTTTTTTTTTTTTTTTTTTGAGAGGTTTTTGCTATAGGGTGTGCATGCTCACCAGAAAGACAGAGACAGAAAGCGAGAAATCACCTCCCAGGGGGGACGGCCATGCCACAATCCCTTCTCCTCTCTCCTCTCGGGATCTTGGGCATGCATGCACATGCGCCTGGCGTGAGTTTAAGCCACCAGGTCTGGGACTCAAACCACGGTTGACTACGTGGGAGTCCAGCGACATAACCATTACGCTAACTGCTGGTCCCAAGACAATTAAGTCTTAATACTAAATTGTTTTAATTTTGATTTTGATAGCATATTCATCTTACAGCAGATCTTAGCAGCCTCAGCATACAATTTCCTTCCTTTCTTATTAAGTCAAGAACTTGGATCTTTTTCACTGAAAGAAAATACTCTGGGACCAATAGATGGTGTAATGGTTATGTCCCTGGAATCCCACATAGTCAACCTTGGATCGAGTCCCGGACCCGGCAGTTTAAAACTCATGCCAGGTATATGTGCATACATGCCCAAGATCCTGAGAGGAGAACAGAGGAGAAGGGATTGTGGCATGGCCATCTCCCAGGGAATGATTTCTTACTTTCTATCTCTCTGTCTCTCTGGTGAACATACATGCCCTATAGCAAAATCTCTCTCTAAAAAAAAAAAAAGTAAGGCTTCTCTCCAGCATATCTAAATTACCGGCATCAGTACCCTTATGCTCTGGGCCATTATTAAGGTAAAACAAAGCTTATTTGAATCCAAGCACTGAGTGGGATACCATGACTGTAAGAGTAAGAGATTAAAAATAATAATTAATGGGACCATCAGGTGGCATGGTAGTTGAGGCACTGAGCTCCCACATGGCCAACAATGGTTCGAGTCCCGGAGGTGATGCCTTGCTTTCTCACTTTCCTTCCCTCTCTATGGTGAGTACATATGCCCTATAGCAAATTAAATAACAATAAATAAAATTAAATAAATAATTCTTAAAAATAATAATCAATAACAAAACAGAACTATTCTAACAGTTGTTGGAAAAAAGCAGTTCAGAGCACTCTGTGGATTTCAAGGTCTGTTTAAATTTTAAAGGCCTTAGTAGACACAAGCCTGAAACTTCGATTATACACTACATCTATCAGCAATACTACTTAAAAGGCATGTTTGTTTGTTTTTAGAGAGAAAATTTTGCTATAGGATATGTGTGCTCACTGGAGAGACAGAGAGACAGAAAGCAAGAAATCACTCCCCAGGTGAGGATAGCCATGCCACAATCCCTTCTCTTCCATTCTCCTCTCGGGATTTGGGGCACGCAGTGTGAGTTTTAGGCCGCCAGGTCTGGGACTTGAACTGTGGTCAACTACATAGGAGTTCAGCTATGTAACCATTACACCATCTGCTAGTCCCTCAAAACGCATGCTTTAATTTACAGTAAACTATATTATTGCAAAGGGATTTTAGATTTTATAATGTGACTCTCACCCTTTCCTCATCCCAGTGCTAAATTCATGATATAAAAAATATGATACAGCCACAAAGTTGCCTACAATATAAACTCTTGACAAACAATTCATCACTTCCCCTCTTCTTGACCTTCTCTTTGTATATAAACCAGCTTTCTCTGCAACCATTTTGATGAGGACATGTCTAAGAAACCAGAGTCTGTTTATCAGGTGAATTTGTCCTAAGGCCTGGCTCTAATAATCTTATTATGCCTCATTTATTATGCCTCAGCCTTTTTTTGAGGATTACACAATGTACCATAATAAAAGTTATGTCAGAGCCAGCCTGTGGCCTTGTGGTTAGGGTGACTGGATCCTACATGGCTGACTGTAGTGACTAGAGTCCTGGACCTAGTAACTTGAAAACCATGCCAAACACACATGTGAATAATAAAGGATTAATGTGAGCCTAGTCATTTAAGACAGCTCTGGGTAATAATGACCAGTTGATTGTCCCAGTGGTCTGGTCAGTGTAAGCAATAAATCATGTGGCTACACCTTCACATTGTGGAACCTATTCTACCTGCAGGTGTCATTGCCTAGAAGGAATCATGGGCTGGAAAAAGATGATCCTCACTCTCCTAGCGTTCTGTCTACATATCTGGACTATGGAAGCCTGTTTTCCCAGCCAGGGTGTGCATGCTCACCAGAAAGACAGAGACAGAAAGCGAGAAATCACCTCCCAGGGGGGACGGCCATGCCACAATCCCTTCTCCTCTCTCCTCTCGGGATCTTGGGCATGCATGCACATGCGCCTGGCGTGAGTTTAAGCCACCAGGTCTGGGACTCAAACCACGGTTGACTACGTGGGAGTCCAGCGACATAACCATTACGCTAACTGCTGGTCCCAAGACAATTAAGTCTTAATACTAAATTGTTTTAATTTTGATTTTGATAGCATATTCATCTTACAGCAGATCTTAGCAGCCTCAGCATACAATTTCCTTCCTTTCTTATTAAGTCAAGAACTTGGATCTTTTTCACTGAAAGAAAATACTCTGGGACCAATAGATGGTGTAATGGTTATGTCCCTGGAATCCCACATAGTCAACCTTGGATCGAGTCCCGGACCCGGCAGTTTAAAACTCATGCCAGGTATATGTGCATACATGCCCAAGATCCTGAGAGGAGAACAGAGGAGAAGGGATTGTGGCATGGCCATCTCCCAGGGAATGATTTCTTACTTTCTATCTCTCTGTCTCTCTGGTGAACATACATGCCCTATAGCAAAATCTCTCTCTAAAAAAAAAAAAAGTAAGGCTTCTCTCCAGCATATCTAAATTACCGGCATCAGTACCCTTATGCTCTGGGCCATTATTAAGGTAAAACAAAGCTTATTTGAATCCAAGCACTGAGTGGGATACCATGACTGTAAGAGTAAGAGATTAAAAATAATAATTAATGGGACCATCAGGTGGCATGGTAGTTGAGGCACTGAGCTCCCACATGGCCAACAATGGTTCGAGTCCCGGAGCTGATGCCTTGCTTTCTCACTTTCCTTCCCTCTCTATGGTGAGTACATATGCCCTATAGCAAATTAAATAACAATAAATAAAATTAAATAAATAATTCTTAAAAATAATAATCAATAACAAAACAGAACTATTCTAACAGTTGTTGGAAAAAAGCAGTTCAGAGCACTCTGTGGATTTCAAGGTCTGTTTAAATTTTAAAGGCCTTAGTAGACACAAGCCTGAAACTTCGATTATACACTACATCTATCAGCAATACTACTTAAAAGGCATGTTTGTTTGTTTTTAGAGAGAAAATTTTGCTATAGGATATGTGTGCTCACTGGAGAGACAGAGAGACAGAAAGCAAGAAATCACTCCCCAGGTGAGGATAGCCATGCCACAATCCCTTCTCTTCCATTCTCCTCTCGGGATTTGGGGCGCGCAGTGTGAGTTTTAGGCCGCCAGGTCTGGGACTTGAACTGTGGTCAACTACATAGGAGTTCAGCTATGTAACCATTACACCATCTGCTAGTCCCTCAAAACGCATGCTTTAATTTACAGTAAACTATATTATTGCAAAGGGATTTTAGATTTTATAATGTGACTCTCACCCTTTCCTCATCCCAGTGCTAAATTCATGATATAAAAAATATGATACAGCCACAAAGTTGCCTACAATATAAACTCTTGACAAACAATTCATCACTTCCCCTCTTCTTGACCTTCTCTTTGTATATAAACCAGCTTTCTCTGCAACCATTTTGATGAGGACATGTCTAAGAAACCAGAGTCTGTTTATCAGGTGAATTTGTCCTAAGGCCTGGCTCTAATAATCTTATTATGCCTCATTTATTATGCCTCAGCCTTTTTTTGAGGATTACACAATGTACCATAATAAAAGTTATGTCAGAGCCAGCCTGTGGCCTTGTGGTTAGGGTGACTGGATCCTACATGGCTGACTGTAGTGACTAGAGTCCTGGACCTAGTAACTTGAAAACCATGCCAAACACACATGTGAATAATAAAGGATTAATGTGAGCCTAGTCATTTAAGACAGCTCTGGGTAATAATGACCAGTTGATTGTCCCAGTGGTCTGGTCAGTGTAAGCAATAAATCATGTGGCTACACCTTCACATTGTGGAACCTATTCTACCTGCAGGTGTCATTGCCTAGAAGGAATCATGGGCTGGAAAAAGATGATCCTCACTCTCCTAGCGTTCTGTCTACATATCTGGACTATGGAAGCCTGTTTTCCCAGCCCTTACTACATTGCCCCAGGAGAGATGGGCTTGCCCAGAGGAGGCAAAGGAATGAGAAGTCAGTAACTCAACAGATCTAGACTATGCATGGAGAAGAGAACTGAGAGCTGAAACAGAGTCACTGGCTTCAAATGAGAGCTGTTTTGATTTTTTCACTTATGAAATAATGTCTCCAATGACTTAAGATATACTATGACGGGGGCAGCAGATGGCGTGGTGGTTAAGGGCACTGGACTCCCACATGACCAAGTGCAGTTCAAGTCCCAGCCCTGAGGGCTTGCCTTCTCACTTTTCCTCTCTCTTTCTCACTGTCCCTCTCTAGTCAAATTAAAATAAATTGATAAAGTTAAATAAAATAATTCTTTTTTAAAAAAGATCTACTACTAAAATTTGTAAAAATCTTATACTATTTTTAGTAATTAATGGCCACTAGCACACTGGAAAACACTATTAAATGTAAACTTGGTCACACAATTAGTGAAAGGACTGGCCTATCTTATAAGAATACAAGAGCTAAAACCAACTCTAACCAAGTTATATGAATACCACAAGAAGAAATTCCAGGAAACCAACCAGTTCAACTTCTCTCCTACCTCAAAAGTCATACCATATACTAATCATAGAGTAAGTATTAATAAACAACTATTCTTTCAGCTACTCTTTACCTTCTTGGGACTTTTCATATCCATCAGGATTCATGGATGGCATAAGGTGAATTCTAGTGCTACGAACCAAATCTGTTACTTCAGGGTCTGTTCCAAAGTTCTTACAAAGGTATTCAATGAGGTTCAATAGCAGTTCTCGTCCAACCACTTCATTTCCATGCATATTTCCAATGTACTTAAATTCTGGTTCACCTAAAAGCAAAATAATATAAAAAGTCTGAAAATTAAAGAGTTATCATAAAATATGTTTTCTTCCCAATGCATAAAAAAATTCTGAACCAAAAATTTAAGAAGACATCTATTTTTATAAAGGAAGCAGGAAAAACCTTCATAAACATCTTGTAAAGTAGTTTCTTTATTAATATATATGTCTGAGTAGACTCAAGCATACCAGTGGACTTCTACAGGCTCACAAAAAAATGGAACTAAAGTGAGTTAATTTTGGAGGACCAGCAGTTGGCGTAATGGCTATGTTGCTGGACTCCCATGTAGTCGCCCACGGTTTGAGTCCCGGACCCAGTGGCTTAAACTCACACTGGGCGCGTGTGTGTGCATGCCCAAGATCCTGAGAAGAGAATGGAGGAGAAGGGATGCAACGTGGCCATCCTCTTTGGGGAGTGATTTCTTGCTTTCTTTCTCTCTGTTTCTCTGTCTTTCTGGCGAGCACATGTGCCCTATAGCAAAAACAAACAAAAAACTCACAAAAAAATAAAAATAAAGTGAGTTAATTTTGGTATAAAAAATTTTGAAATCCATGCATGTTTTCTTCATAATATACATTCTCCACAAACTTTCTGAAGACTATACACACACACACATATATATATATAAATATATATACACACACACATATATGCCATATATTATGAAAATAAATGAACATTGACAGGGGATAGACAGTAATGCAGCAGTAAATGTAACATTGTGTAAGGCTGACTTACAGGGAAAGATTCTAGGTTTGCATTCGGAGATCTCTGGAAGTATGGAGACATATGTATGCCAAGATCTGGTGCTGGATGGGGGCTGGCAGGTGGCGTGGTGTTTATGGTGCTGGCTCCCTCATGGCCAACTAATTTGAGTCATGGACCTGGTGGTTTGCTTTCTCTCTCATTGGTCAAATTGAATAATAATAAGTAAAATTAAATTAATAATTCTTTTTTTTTTTTTTTTGAGAGGTTTTGCTATAGGGCACGTGCGCTCACCAGAAAGACCGACAGAGACAGAGAGACAGAAGAGATAGAAAGTGAGAAATCCCCCCCCCCCCCAGGGAGGATGGCCACGCTGCAATCCCTTCTCCTCCATTCTTCTCTCGGGATCTTGGTCACACATGTACATGCACCCAGCATGAGTTTAAGCTACCAGGTCCAGGACTCGAATCCTGGTTGACTACATGCGAGTCCAGCGACATAACCATTACACCATCTGCTGATCCCAAATTAATAATTCTTTAAAAATAAAAAAAATCTGGGGTTGGCTGAGGTTGCAGCTGGACTGCAGTGTCAAGACCATGTTGAGAATGCTCTCTCTCTCACTCTTGCTCATGGAATAAATGCTATTAGAAGAAATCGAATTTATGCATGTTTTAAATACCAGACTTAATATGGATTATCAAAGAAATATTATTGTTGGGAACCAGCAGTTAGCATAGTGGCTATGTCGCTGGACTCCCACGTGGTCGACAGCGGTTCGCGTCCTGGACCCGGTGGCTTGAAACTCCATGCCAGACGCATGTGCGTGCGTGCCCAAGATCCCGAGAGGAGAATGGAGGAAAAGGGATTGCGGCGTGACCATCCCCTCTGGGGGATGATTTCTCGCTTTCTGTCTCTCTGTCTCTGTCTGTCTGGTGAGCACAGGCACCCTATAGCAAAAAAATCCCCCCCCCAAAAAGAAATATTATTGTTTTCTGGAAAAATAGAGGATACATTTTTCTTTTCTTTTCTTTTCTTTTTGAATATGTTTTCTTAATTCCAGTTGTACCTACAGGTGAATTTTCTGGATGAAATATAGCATTATAGTACATGGCTCTGAGAGGCATTACTGAAATGATGTGTAAGAGCATACCACTAACCTGGTTCATGGACACCAGGATTATCAGAGATCTCCATCACATAAAGTTCTCTTGATTCTACTGATTTCCCCAATGAATAAAGCCGGGTGATGTTAGGATATTCATTGGCAAACCTTCTCAAGAAGATTTCCATGTCAGGGAAATGGTGGTGGTGAAAATCCTTTGGCTGGATTGGCTGGTGGGAGGATGATGTTCCAGGAGGAATATTAGGCACAGCAACTGTGCTAGCAGTTGCCATAGCTTCAGTAGTGTCAGGGATTACTGAAGCCACAGTTGGCCGTAGGTTAAAATCCACTTCTGTGGCTGGTCCTTCTTTCACTATTACATTATTAATTGTCAATGGCATATACCTGAGGGGAAAACATTGAAAATGTAGGTGGATTTGCATTAGGATGCATCTAATGCATTTTAACATTTAAAACACAGTAGCCTTTAATGCACAGTAGCCTTTTCATACTCTTGTACTTTGTAGTCTATCAAAACTCAAATGAGGGCAAGAGGATGGCATAACAATACTACAGCTGGACCCATATGGGAAGGTCCTGAGTTCATGGCCCGGGGCTTCCCTCTACATGCCAGACATGCACATATGCCCCTGATCCAACTAGCTTAGGCTGGGGTGGATCCTGAAATAAAGACCCTGATGGGATCCTGAAATAAAGACCCTGCCCTTCTTTCCTTCCTTCTCTTTTTTTTTTTTTGAAGAGGTTTTTTTGTTTCTTTTTTTGTTCTATTTATTATTTTTTTTTCTTTTTCCTATATGGCGCGTGCGCTCGCCAGACAGACAGAGAGAGACAGAGAGGCAGAAAGCGAGAAATCACCCCCCGGGGGGATGGCCACACCGCAATCCCTTCTCCTCCATTCTTCTCTTGGGATCTTGGGCACGAATGCACATGCGCCCGGCATGAGTTTTAAGCCACTGGGTCCAGGATGTGAACCATAGTCGACTGCATGGGAGTCCAGCCACACAGCCATTACGCTAACTACTGGTCCCCTTCCTTCTCTCTCTTTCATAGAAAAAATAAATAAGCTTACATTAAAATTAAAACTCAAATGAGGAGCAGCAGGTGACGTGGGGGTTAAAGGCACTGGGCTCCATATGGCTGCCTGCAGTTTGAGTCCTGGACCTGGTGGCTTGCTTCCTCACTTCCCCTTTTACTCTCTCTCTCTGTCTCTCTCTGATCAAAACTGGAAAATAATAATAATAATATATATAGTTAAATTTAAAAGATAATTCTTTTAAAATTTCAAATGAAATAAATATATAAATTTAAGCATTTCAGAATAATATCTCATAGAGACTCCCAGGTTACGTTTTCACAGAATTAGTTCTCTTGGGACCAGCAGTTAGCGTAATGGCTATGTCACTAGACTCCCACGTAGTCGACT